AGAGAGAGAGAGAGAGAGAGAGAGAGAGAGAGAGAGAGAGATTGATAGACAGAGATATGGATGCAATAGATGATAGAGATAGATAGATAGATAGATAGATAGATAGATAGATAGATAGATAGATAGATAGATAGATAGATAGATAGATAGATGATAGATAGATAGATAGATAGATAGATAGATAGATAGATAGATAGATAGATAGATAGATAGATAGATAGATAGATAGAGATGGATGGATGGACGGACGGACGGACGGACGGACGGACGGACGGACAGACAGATAGAAGATAGAGATATCCTGGTGTAGGCAATAAAACAGAGTTAAGGTTGTTAATTCGGAAGCCTACTCATTCTAAGACAGACCCAGTTTCGACTCTTGATGGGTTGGGGTCCACCTAGGCTTGTTGCTCCTGCTGGAAGAGCTGGTAGGAGCTGTGGCCAGGAGGGCTATTGCCCATTTTGTGCAATCATTGTGGTGCTCATACTTTAGCAGAGTTGGCTGTCAATTCTACCTCTTCCGTCTTACCTTGATGGCCCGTAAGGCGCACTGCATCAGTGCTGAGACGCTGCCCACTTCTCGTAAGACTTTCTTGCTGTTCATATCGGCTCGCCACGAGAGGTTGCGCAGGATGCTGGATACCACCTAAGAAAGGGGTGGGCAATTAATTTTCCCAAGTGGCCACATGAGAAACTAGGACTGTTGTGGAGGACCGAACCAATAGGGTTGTGAAGGTATGTAGATATGCATGCATGCAAATACGTCCCAAAGGTGCTTTTTCAAGAGGCAACTGGACTCTCTTTGTTTTTCCTTGAAGACGTTTCGCTTCTCATCCAAGAAAAGAAAAACAAAATCCAGTTGCCTCTCAAAAAAGCACCTTTGGGACAACCATGAACTGGATGACTGAGAATCTCCATAGACAAACACACAAATAGCTAAATTTTTTTAAAAAATAACCGTCGCCTTCAAAATAAAAGTAATCCACTTGGGCTCGCCGGGGCAGCCAAAGGGCCAGATGTGGCCTAGGGTCCATAAAATGGCTGCATGGCTGGCTGGTGACTTCTGGGAATTGAAGTCCACAGCTCTTAAAGTTACCAAGGTTGAAAAAAAACACTAGATTAGAAGCAGCTTCTACACCAATTCCTCGCTTTCACCCTAACTCAGTGGTTCTCAACCTTTTTAATGCCGCGACCCCAACCGGTCGTAAGTCGAGGACTAAACCGGTCGTAAGTCGAGGACTAAACCGGTCGTAAGTCGAGGACTACCCAACCGGTCGTAAGTCGAGGACTTTCCCTGCCCGGGAGCGCCGCACATGCGTGGTTCCGCCCCCTGCGCCGGCCGAGGCGTAGCTGGCAAGCGGCAGAGACGGAGCAGGCCGACCACCAGCTGGCCCAGCCCAAGGGAGGTAAGGCACCCGCCGGAAAAGGGGGGAAAAATGGCGGACAAAAAAAAATGGCGGACAGCCTTGCTTGGCGACCCCCGTGAAATGGTCAATCGACCCCAAATGGGGTCCCGACCCACAGGTTGAGAACCACTGCAAACATTATGGTTGTGTGAAAAGAAGGCGTTAGCACGGTCTTGAGCTCCTAAATAAAAGCTGAGCTTTAAATCTAATAAATAACGTTCATTTTTTCCAAGCAAGGAGTGTTTCAGAGTGAAAGCTACCTTCAGCAGCTATTTTTCCCACTGGGGCAGATAGAGAATCTGAGGTCATGTAAAGCAGCTTCGGACATTACTTAAAATGCCCTCTTTACATGCTCAGAGAAGGAAACATCTGGGCCTGGATCTGCTAGAGAAGGGCAGGTAGGGTGCAGATTCGGTGATCATCCATGGTCTCCTAGTGGCTACGGTACCTGGTGCAGTTCCTCACTGTCAGATGCTAATTGGTCCACGATAGCTTGCATACACCTTTGCCGTGAACATAGCGTTGCCTAAACAGCAAGAAAAGAGTAAGAAATAGCAATTAGGGATGAATGTTTTATTTAGGATTGCTTTTATGTTCCTCTGAAGAAGTTACAGAGTTAAAACTACAGATAGTCCTCAACGTATGACCACAATGGGGCCCAGAGTTTCTGCTGTAAGTTACGATAGTTGTAGATCGGGGTGCCCATGTGACCGATTTTATGATCTTTATGCCGTGGTCAAAAAGCAAATACATCACTCATAAAGTTGAGCACTGCTCAAAATTTCCATTGTAAAGCATTGTTAAGTGAGCTTTGTCCCATTTTACGACCTTTCTTGTCACAGTTGTTAAGGGAATCATTCAGTCACTAAGTGGCTTCTCACGCTGACTTTGCTTGTTGAAAGCTGGCTGGGAAGGTTACAAATGGCGATCACATGACCCTGGGACAGAGCAGTTGTCATGACCATGGGGATGTTGCAACGGTCATAAGTATGAAAACGGTCATCATTCATTTTTTTCAGTGCTGATTTAACTCTGAACGGTCACAGACAAAGGGTGGTAAGTTGAGAACTACCTGTAACAAAATATCCCTCTATGGGAGAATAACAGTTCTCCCTGAAGCTGGCTACTGTATGGAAAAATCTGGGTAAAAATCTATTATTTAGGTAAATATTGGATGAACTGACATTTTACAACTCAGGCAAAAAAAAAAAGGACTCTCTGACATTACGTCTCCTTAGGTGGGGACTGCTGAAGAACATGGGACCTTTGCCTGTGGACATAGCCCAGATGTATTTTGCTGAGACAGTCCTTGCCCTTGAATACCTTCACAATTACAGCACTGTTCACCGGGATCTCAAACCAGACAAGTGAGGGTGGGGTACAAGTTAAATTGTGAAATGGCAGGGAGGTGGGTGGGATGCATTTATTTCAAAAATTCTTGTTAGGGAGTCGTCTCCTAATAGGTTTGTCTGCTATAGCCTAGAATGCTGACTGGCTGTGTGGGTTGTCTTCCTTGTATCAACGGATTCAGGTTTTTTACTTTGGGTCCCATCTCACCTTGTTGACCACATCCCCGAAGGTGAGGTTGGTCAAGGCCATGCCTGTGTAGCGCCTGAGTGCCAGATTGAGGGGGTCATTGGTCATGTTGTGCATCTCGTAGTCCACTTGCAGCAGCTCAGCGATGGCCTGGAGTCCACCTGGGAAGGGAAACGGAGAAGAGAAAAACAGGACCAACTATGAGCATGGAGCCCCCAACAGGAGTGCACAACCAACGGTGCAAGATCAGTGGAACAACTTGCCTCCAGAAGTTGGGAATGCTCCAACACTGGAAGTCTCCTTGAAACTAATCAAGGAGAGAAGCAACCTAGAACTAAGGAGATGATTTCCTGAACAGTGAGAACAATTAATCAGTGGAACAGCTTGCCTCCAGTGGAGATTTTTAAGAAGAGATTGGGCAAACATTGGTCTGAAATTGTATAGGGTTTCCTGCCTGAGCAGGAGGTTGGACTAGAAGACCTCCAAGGTCCCTTCCAACCCTGTTATTCTCTTATTTTGTTAAGATTCACCCAGTCACATTTAGCAGGTTTAATGCAAAGAAAAAGGACTTAGAAATTTAATACTATGGAAAATAAATAACTCTATAGGTAGTCCTTGACTTATAACTACAATTGGGACCAGAATTTTCATTACAGGTAGTCCTCGACTTACGACCACAATTAAGCCTAAAATTTCTGTTGCTAAGTAAGACATTTATTAGGTGAGTGTTGTCCCATTTTATGACCTTTCTTGCCACGGTTGTTAAGTGAATCACTGCAGGTCTTAAGTTAGTAACATGGTTGTTAAGTGGATCTGGCTTCCCCATTGACTTTGCTTGTCAGAAGGTCACAAAAGATGATCACATGAGCGCAGGACACTGCAACCGTCATAAATATGAGTCAACTGCCAAGCATCTGAGTTTTGATCACATGGCCATGGGGATGCTGCAAGGGTTGTAAGTGTGAAAAACAGTCATAAGTCGCTTTTTTCAATGCAGTTGGTCAAGCTTAAGCCATTGGACTTGCAAAGTCTTTGGACTTCTTAAGATAGGAGCTGTGCTGGCACAGTAGTTAGAATGCAGTTGTCATGTGTCTGATTAACGAAACACTTAAAAGAACTTTCAGGCATTTTTTTAACCTAAAAGCATTTATTAAGGTTACAGAGATGTCAGTACGGCATGGTGGAATGCTTAGATCTGATTTTCTTTTCCGTTGCACATACATTCCAGGCATTTTCCCCTCCCCTATTTTGGGATTATGGTTCACATCTTCCAATTAACTTGGAAGATGTGATTCACTTCCGGTTCCTTTTTCCCGGGCTTTCCTTATTCTCCTCCCCTTTCACTGTTGCCTGATTTAACTATAAAAATACCAGACAGTTCTGCATATTGTCAAAGCAAGAATATAAAACAAGTATTTGCAGCGTTGACAGCAGTACAGGTAGTCCTCAACTTGCAACAATTCATTTAGTGACCGTTTGAAGTTACGACGACACTGAAAAAAGTGACTTAAGACCGTTTCTCACATCTGCGACTATTGCAGCATCCCCATGGTCACGTAATCAAAATTCAGATGCCTGGCAACTGACTCATATTTATGATGGTTGCAGTGTCCTGGGGTCATGTTGATCCCCTTATGTACAAGCAAAGTCAGTGGGGAAGCCAGTTTCACTTAACAACCTTGTTACTAAGTTAACAACTGCAGTGATTTGCTTAACAGCTGTGGCAAGAAAAGTTGTAAAAGGGGGCAAAATTCGCTTACCAACTGTCTCACTTAGCAACAGAAATTTTGGGCTCAATTGTGATTGTAAGACGGGGACTACCTGTATTGCAGGCGGTCTCTGCTCACTGCCAGGAGTTCGATCCTGACCGTCTCAAGGTTGACTCAACTTTCCATCCTTCCAAGCTCAGTAAAATGAGGACCCAGATTGTTGAGGGCAAGATGCTGACACTGTAAACCGCTTAGAGCTGATTGTAAAAAGTGATTTTGCTATTGCTACTTTTCTGAGATGGCAGGTTACACTGCTGTTCACCCTGTTGACCCATGACTGTTGTGCTAGGTTTGCCACCAATCATATTGTAAAGTTCGCAGATGATACAACAGTAGTGGGCCTTATTCAGGATGACAAGGTGGAAGCTTACCGCAAGGAGGTTGAGGGGTTGGTGAACTGGTGTAAGGAAAACAGCCTAGTTTTAAATACTGGAAAAACCAAAGAGATCATTGTCGATTTCAGAAAAGGCAGGCACAGCCACACTTCTCTGTGCATTAATGATTCACCTGTGGAGATGGTTACCAGCATCAAATTCCTGGATGTGCAGCTAACAAGTAGGCTGGCTTGGTCGCTCAACAGCGAGACACTGGTGAAGCGGGCACAGCAGCACCTGCATTTTCTGTGTCGCATGAGCAAAGCACATCTTCCTTCCCCTGCCCTGACCACTTTCTACAGGGGGACGATCAAGAGCATCCTGTCATACAGCATCACAGTCTGGTTTGGAAGCATCACTGCTTCAGACAGGAAGGTGGTGCAGAGAGTGGTGAGAATGGCCGAAAAGATCATTGGCAGTTCCCTCCCTCCCATCCAGGACATAGCACAGAAGCGTTGCTTGAGCAGGGTCCGTAAGATTATCTGGGACACTACACATCCTCTTCACCACCTGTTTTCCTTATTACCTTCTGGGAGGAGGGGGCTCCGTGGTATCCGTAGCAGAACATCCAGATTCAGCCATAGTTTCATTCCATACAGCATTAACCTTGTGAACTCTCAAGCTTCCTCCTTCCGTTATATATTCAAGATGGACAATGTTTAATATTTATTGGTTATGTATATGTAGGGGTGTGAGTCTATACATATGTTGTATATAGTATGTTTAGGTGTGTGTCATGTATGTGTTTCACTTTGAGAGCGGGCAACTAAATTTCATTTTTGATGTGTGCCGTTGTGCCCACAGTAAAAAAAAAAATGACAATAAAGGTTATCTTATCTATCTTATCCCACAGTAACTTACCCAGCTCATTCATGGCACGGCGATATTCTTCATCAAACGAGAGCTTCATGATGGCGCAGGTAGCTTGACAGATCTGGGGCTCAATCGGAACAGGAGCTGCAGAGAAGAGAGTGGAATGGGCTGAATGGAACAGAAACCCCAAACATTAATTGTATTGACTTTTGATGCAATTCAATGGAGTCACATCCCTGGTGGTTTATACCCCAAATGATTAATCCCACTTTAAGTAGGATTTTAAGAACTTGGCACAAGCTCAAAAAGTTGCTGGCTGGATCAGCGGGCTAAAAAGGCTTATGAAGAGGAAAGGAATTAAAATGTTTAAAGAATGCAAAGGGAAGACTGAGCAGAGAGATGATAGCTACAAATGAGAATTATAGAGAGACTCTTGTGAAATATTAATAAACTCTCCTACATGAAGAGAAACATTATGCTTGCTTTGAAACCAGTAATTTTGAAATGAGCTCATTAAAGCTGCAGTGCAAAATACAGCCATCTGGGAAAACAATAAAACTTTAAAAAATGTTGGTAAGGCTCTCTTTTAAATGGTTGGTTTCTCATCGGGAGAGGTTTGAATAAATGCTATTCAAATGTCCTTTAGCAAGCCGCTTAGCAAATCTAACAACTGGAAGCTGGCACAGAAATATTCCACTTAAATAAATACTTTTAAAGTCAACAGAACTGAGTATCTGCCGTTGCGTAATCTCAGGTCAGTTTCTGTCTCTTGGTCTAATGTAATCATTGCATTGTTATGCCAATAAAGGGAGAGTGTGGCAGTTATTTATTCAGTTCATTTCCTTTCTCTACCGCCCTTCCAAAATAGCTCAGGGCAATATCCATTAAAAACACTGAAGCAAAACAACAGATGAAAAATCAAAGCAACTCTCATGCGGAAATTATTTTGACCGGCAAAGTATTTACATTTTTCAGGTTGGTTGAGGGCCTCCAAAAAAAAATAGAGCTCTGGCTGCTATAAAAACTGGGGTGGGAGGGGCCTCTCTAAGAAGATTGTGAATGAGTCACAACAGGTGAGCTATGGACTGCTATGGACAGTCTTCATGAGCAATAGAGAGCGTGTAAAGTAGTATTTCTCAAACTTGACTACTTTCAGACATGTGGAGTTCAACTCCCAGAATTCCACAGCATGGCTGGCTGTGGAATTCAGGGAGCTGAAGTCCACATGTTGAAAGTTGCCAAGTTTGTGAAATATGTGGTCCTATTGTACAATGCAAAGTTGTGGACTAGATCAGCGGTCCCCAGCTTTTCCGGCTTTGCGGACCAGCGCGGAGGGGGAGCAGGGGTAGAGGAGAATGTTCCTCACGTGCAGCTTACACAAATGGACTTGCGTGCACAAGCGTGTTCGCCCGTCACTTGCATGGCCTGGTTCCGAACAGGCCATAGCCTGATACTGGGCCGTGGACCAGGGGTTGTGGACCCCTGGACTAGATCAGGGGTCCCCAACCCCCAGTTCGTGGAGTGGCACTGGTCCGTGGCATGCCAGCAAACAAGTGAAGCCCCATCCGTGGGATGCAGGCAACACATGAAGTCACGTCCCCTCCAGTCCGCAGAAACACCTCTCTCCGTGGAACCAGTCCCTGGTGCCCAAACGGTTGGGGTCCGCTGGACTAGATGATCTTCATGTTTCCTTCCAACTCTACAGTTCTATGAGTCAATTGTCCAACCCAGAGTCATCCAAGAATCCTAGCCCTTGCTGTTGTTAAATTAAGAAGTATTTCTTCATTCATTAATGTAAAAGATTAACATTAATGGTGTTAACTAAGCTACTTCTTCTCCACTACTTTCACAGTAAAATCAGCCACCTTGGGCAAGCATCCAAGAAACAGGCGGCGAGGCATCCCTTCGCAACTTCAGACATGCCCAACCCTTCCTACAAACAAGGATGGCTGAAGACATTCCTTGGCTGCCTGCAGAAATACCACAAGCCAGGTTTGGCCAGCAAAGATCTGATTAAAAAGCTTTGCAATCAGAAGGTTTCTAGCAGTAAATCTGGGAAAAAAAAGGAATAGCTTTTCCCAAGTTATTGAGAGAGTCATTCTGTGGGATGGATGGAGGAACTTGCTGTTCCTCAGAGGAAAAACGGTGTCCACGTTTCAACAACAGAAATGAAATTAATCTTGCAGCACAAGCCTGCTTTTGGAAGGAAAGGATCAATGCAAGATGTGTGTGTAAATGTGTTTTGTTGGGCTGTGGGCCATGTTTTATTTATTTATTTGCTCAATTGTCTAGCCAAGGGGCTACTCTAAGCAGCTTACAACAATAAAACCGAAAAAAAAACCAGATAGAAAATGTAACAATAATGAAGGGATAAAGCAATAAAAATAAACAGTTGAAGAACAATACAGGTAGACCTTGATTTTAGTGACCGTTTGAAGTTACAATGGGACTGAAAAGAGTGATTGACTTATGACCATTTTTCACACTTACGATCGTCGCAGTCAATGTTGAAAGTCAACGGGGAAGCCAGATTCACTTTACAACCATGTTACTAACAACTGCAGTGATTCACTTAAGAACTTTGGCAAGACAAGTCATAAAATGAGGCAAAATTCACTTAACAAATGTCTCGCGTAGCAATATAAATTTTGGGCACAATTATGGTCGTAAGCCGAGGACTGCCTGTCATATGAAATTACAATTATGGTTGTAAGTCGAGGACTATCTGTAATACGAAATTTAAAAAGGTGGAAGGAAAAGGGGCATGGGAAACCTCTTGGAAGGGACCCTCCCTAGTTCCTTGAACTGTAAAGGTGAGGGGAAAAAGATGTCTTTTCAGACTTGCAAGGTTCTGTTAATACAGGAGTCTTCAAACTTGGCAACTTTAAGACTTGTGGACTTCAATTCCCAGAATTCCTCAGCCAGCCAGGGCTGGCTGTGGAATTCTGGGAGTTGAAGTCCACAAGTCTTCAAAGTTGCCAAGTTTGAAGACCCCTGTATTAATATAACCTTACAATAAAGATAGAGCTAGCGGTCCTGGGTGGGCTTCTTGTCAAGACTACCTCAAAGGGCTGATCGCTAACCTAAATTTTCCTTGTTACCTTCTGGGAGGAGGGGGCTTCGTGGTATCCAAAGCAGAACATCCAGATTCAGCCATAGTTTCATTCCATACAGCATTAACCTTGCGAACTCTCAAGCTTCCTCCTTCCGTTATATATTCAAGATGGACAATATTTAATATTTATTTGCTACGTATATGTAGGGATGTGGGTCTATACATATGTTGTTCATAGTATGTTTAGGTGTGTGTGATGTATGTGTTTCACTTTGAGAGCGGGCAACTAAATTTCATTTTTGATGTGTGCCATTGTGCCCACAGTATAAAAATGACAATAAAGGTTATCTTATCTTATCTTATCTTATCAAGTCCTCCCTCTACCTGCTCCCCCCTCGGGGATCTTGGCCCCTTCCTTGTGTATCCTTAGCCAATCCCAGCAGGTCTCCGAGTAGGAGCGGATCTGTTCCAGCACGTGTAGCACCCGCATCTCCTTCTTGGCCTGTCCTTCATCGGGCTGAGAGAAGATGATGTTGTGGAGGGCAGCGTTGGCCCGCATGCGACAATCCTTCCCTGCGACTCCAGGGCTGTCAGGCGCGCTGGGTTCGCGATCTGAGTCGTGGAGAATCTGGATGAGGAGAGGGAGGCATCCCGACTTGCGCATGGCCAGGCAGCTTTCCTGGGAACTGGACATGGCCAGCAGTGTGCGCGACATGTCTTCCTTGTCCCGGGTGGCCAACATGGAAAGCAGCCAGAAGACCACTTCCACCTGAGGATCAGAAGAAATAAATCCCTTTTTATTCATACTTTCTATTTCTTTTTCCGATAGCAAGAGCACTTAGACCAGGGGTAGGCAACCTTGGCTCTTTTATGACTCGTGGACTTCAACTCCCAGAATTCCTGTGCCAGCATGGCTCAGCATGGAAACCTCTCCATTTCTCCTCAGCATGGCTGGCTCAGGAATTCTGGGAGTTGAAGTCCACGAGTCATAAAAGAGCCAAGGTGGCCTACCCCTGACTTAGACTTATATACCGCTTGATCGTGCTTTGCAGCCCTCTCTAAGCGGTTTTACAAAGTCACCCTCTTGCCCCCAACAATCTGGGTCCTCATTTTAGCGACCTCGGAAGGATGGAAGGATGAGTCAACCTTGAGCTGGTCAGGATCGAACTCTTGGCAGTGGGCAGAGTTTGTCTGCAATACTGCATTCTAACCACTGCACCACCATGGTGCCTTTATCTAGTGGTTGCTTTGTTTTTCTTCTGTATTTCATTTCATTCTGCCTTGTTGCATTTCATTAGATAATACAGCTAGTCCTCGACTTACAACAGTTCATTTAGTGACCGTTCAAAGTGACAACAGCACTGAAAAAAGTGACCTATGGCCCTTTTCCACACTTGCGATGTTGCAGTATCCACATGGTCACGTGATCAAAATTCGGATGCTTGGCAACCTACTCATATTTATGACGGCCGCAGTGTCCCGGGGACACATGATCTCCTTTTGTGACCTTCTGACAAGCAAAGTCAATGGGGAAGGCAGATTCACAGCCCTGTTACCAACTGAACGACAGTGATTCCCTTAACAACTGTGGCCAAAAAGGTCATAAAATGGGGCAAAATTCACTAAAATGTCTCACTTAACAACAGAAATTTTGGACTCAATTATGGTCGTAAGTCGAGGACTGCCTGGTGCAAATGTTTTTACAAACCAAGGGTGAGAAGATTGGGAGCTGCACATTTAGATGCTGCCACTAGATGGCACTCATGTAAAAGCCAAATATCTGAGATTTGATATATGATTTGCTTCATATAAAAACGGGCAAAACTTTGATTGCATGCTTGTGTCCATTATTTTGACTTTTGTTTTGACTCTGTGGGAAGTCCCCCCCTCCCGAGAAGCAAATATTTAAAAGGCAGAATATTATATTTCCTCAAAGGATCTTAAAAAGGCAGAAAAGCATGCTGGTTTTCTTAATAGCCCCAAGTCTCCCTCTCCCATGCAGAAACCAGCTCTGTAGAAATGCAGATATCATAATCCTTTCAGAAAGACTGGCACCTGGAAGCTTGGAGCTGATAGGATTAGAAAGACAAACATCCCTAGAATTAACAATCCTTCACACCAAAAAAATCCAATACAGGACATAGTCATCAGCCACACCCCCAGGGAAGCAGGATATGACTTTTGGGACATAATAGGATTAACCCACCACCATCAGAATACCAGAAAGGCACACCCAGACTCAGATCAAAGTTCATGCCACAGGAACAACTCCAAACAAAAGCTCAAGAAGGTATAAAAACCCACCACTCCGTACTACATGTGGTCAGCTTTCCCAGAGCCATTTTTCTGTCTGGCTCTCCTCTTCAATAAACTGCAACCTTCTTTCTAAAGCAGTCTCCATTTTGTTTATTCCCAGCTTGGACTGGACCCTGATGAAGATTTTTCTTTCAACAACTCCCTTGCAGGCAACCCTGATAGACAGGTTTATTCTCTTACTTGGGGGTTTTTTAGGGGGGGGGAGCGGGTGCCTTCAAGTCACTATTGATTCCTGGTGATTGCCTGGACAAATCCCTGAAGTTTTCTTGACAAATTTTTAGAAGTGATTTGCCATTATCTTCTTTCTATGGCTGAAAAAAAGTGGCAGAAAGTCATCTAGCTACCTTTGTGCCTAAGGCAGAACTCAGGGTCACCCAGTTTTTAGCCTGATGCCTTAACCATCTCAGATAGTCCTCAACTTATGATTGTAATGGAGCACAGAATTACGGACATAAGTTGTGGTGATCATTAAGCAAACCACAAGGTAACTGTGCCTGATTTTATGACCTTTTCTGCTGTGGCCATTAAGTGAATGTGGCAGTTGTAAAGTGAATGCATGGTTGTTAAGTGAATCCATTGTCTGCAATGGGAGGTGTTTTTTTGGCTAGAAATGACGTAAATGCTGATTTCCATCACAAAAATAGTAAATCACGGGCACATGACTTACTAATGGTCACATGACTTACTGTGGCAAATGGCTGTAAAGGTGGGCCAGTTGCCAAAATGTGATCATGTGACCATGACTGTCAGAACCTCAAATCTGGGTAGTAAATAGCCTTGGGGAGGTCCATTTTTAGCTTTGAATTGTCACTAAGTGACCAGTCGTACATCAAGGACTACCTGTACACCGAACTGGCTGGGTTTGTAAGCTTCTTGAAACACATCCACAAAAGGGAAAATTGACTTTGTAAAGTAGGACTGGGTTAAATTCCAGTAGCGAAATGGTAACGATCAGGGGTCCTCAACTTTGGCAACCTGAAGACTTGTGGACTTCAAGTCCCAGAATTCCTCAGCCAGCAAAGGTGGAGGACCCCTGCCTTAGAACAATAGAGGGCTGTCTGCAGGCCATGGCTATTATGCATATGTCCATAAAAAACACCTTGACTTTTTTGACCACAGAAACACAGTACTGTACCTTACTGCTGCCCAGCTGACCCTTCCCTTCCTCTGAGTGTGTTGTGATGTCGAGCCTTCCATCCCCTTCTGTGCATGGCAGTTTTCCAGAGGGCTGGAAGATAAGAGTTGGGCAGATGGGAAACACAGAGAAACGTTTAATAGAAGTTGCATCCTTGCACCCAGCTGAAGTCTGCCTGCCAGGATCTGCAGAGCCCATTTTCGTCCGTGCAGCCAGGTCTTAATCTTGGCAAATCAAGAGAGTTTTAGACTATTTCCTTGGAGGGTAATATACATAATATTTCTCCCTCCTCCTGTTTCCCCCACAAAACAAGCCTGTGAGGTGAGCTGGGCTGAGAGAGAGTGATTGGCCCAAAGTCACCCAGCTGTCTTTCATGCCTAAGGCAGGACTAGAACTCTCAGACTCCTGATGATTGGGCCAAACGTATCCAACCAGCTTTTGTGTCTCAGGTGGGACTAGAACTCACAGTCTCCTGGTGATTGGCCCAAAGTCACTCAGCTGGCTTTCATACCTAAGGTGGGACTAAAATACCCAGCCTCCTGCTGATTGGTCCAAAGTCACCCAGCTGGCTTTCGTACCTAAAGTAGGACTAGAATACCCAGCCTCCTAGTGATTGGTTCAAAGTCACCCAGCTGGCTTTTGTACCTAAGGTGGGACTAAAATACCCAGCCTCCTGGTGATTGGCCCAAAGTCACCCAGCTGTCTTTTATGCCTAAGGCGGGACTAGAACTCTCAGACTCCTGATGATTGGCCCAAAGTTATCCAACCAGCTTTTGTGTCTCAGGTGGGACTAGAACTCACAGTCTCCTGGTGATTGGCCCAAAGTCACTCAGCTGGCTTTCATACCTAAGGTGGGACTAAAATACCCAGTCTTGTTGTGATTGGCCCAAAGTCACTCAGCTGGCTTTTGTGCCTCAGGCAGGACTAGAACTCACGGTCACCCAGTTTCTAACTTGATGTCTTCACCCCTACACTAAACCAGCTCTCTTAATATAATGAATGAATGATTTGGATGAATTAATGGAGGGAATGCTTCCTGGGGTGGGGGTGGGGAGTGTCAAAAAAGTTAAGATGGCGGATTGAAGCCCTGTTTGTTATTTTATGTCTGTTGTGCATGCAGCCCGTCCTGACTCTTTGGCCCATACACCCCAGCAGATGCCCAAAGTACTTATCACAATTGCAGGCATCCCAAAATTAGATATGCATAGCTATTATTTCTTAAACGCTAATGGGAAAAGAACACATCCATCTTAGTAAGAGCCATTCAGTCAGTGAGCTAGTTAATGAGGGAGATGGTGAGCTCCTCTCTACATGGGTGGCTTAATCAAGCTTGATTTATTTACTTGATGCTTGCAGTTGGATTCCTGAACTTAGCAAGGGTTGAGTTAGATCAGCAGCCCTCCAACCTTTTGGGCACCAGGGACTAGTTCCATGGAGAGAGCTTTTTCCACAGACTGGAGGGGGCGTGGTTTCATATGCTGCTTGCATCCCGCGGATGGGGCTTTGCTTGTTTGCGCGGCCCGGTTTTTAGCATGCCGCTGCCCGGTGCTGGTCCACAGACCACGTGTTGGGGACCCCTGGACTAGATGGCCTCAGGGAACTCCTCTCTCTCTCTTTCCAGACATCTGAAAGAGGGTCAAGTGGTGCCTCACTCAACCTGCAGCAACTGATTCCGCCCTGCTTCTATTTTTGGAATAAGGCTCTGAAGTTTCAAGTAGAGGACGGATTAAAAAATATGAACAAAGTTGTCGTATCAGGGGCAAGGAGCACATGACACGGATTGTGTAACTTGTCAACTAAGATAATTACTTTATATTTTAATTTGACTTATTTTCTCTCTTTTAAAATGGTGTCCAGGCTCATTACAGGCTGGAATGTAGGAATAGCTTTTAACATTCCTAAATTGAAAAGATAAACTAGCTGGAGACTATCTCCAGATAAGAAAAAGTTTGTTACATACAAATTGGGGTCTGGTTTATCTCTTCCGTGAACGTTTATCTCTTCCGTGAACTCTAAACAACCTTTTTCGTTTAGAAAGAGTACAGAGAAGAGCAACAAAGATGATTAGGGGACTGGAGGCTAAAGCATATAAGGAACAGTTGCTGGAATTGGGTATGTCTAGTTTAATGAAGAGAAGGAGTAGGGGGGACATGATAGCAGTCTTCCAGTATCTCAGGGGCTGCCCCAAAGAAGAGGGAGTCAAGCTATTCTCCAAAGCGCCTGAAGGCAGGACGAGAAGCAACGGATGGAAACTAATCAAGGAGAGAAGCAACCTAGAACTAAGGAGAAATTCCCTGACAGTTAGAACAATTAACCAGTGGAACAACCTGCCTCCAGAAGCGGTGAATGCTCCAACACTGGAAGTTTTTAAGAAGAGACTGGACAGCCATTTGTCTGAAATGGTATAGGGTTTCCTGCCTGAGCAGGGGGTTAGACTAGATGACCTTCAAGGTCCCTTCCAACTTTACTACTACTACTACTATTATTATTATTATTATTATTATTATTATTATTATTATTATTAGTATTATTTATGCAAGGGGTCTTCAAACTTGGCCCTTTTATGACTTGTGGACTTCAACTCCCAGAATTCCTCAGCCAGGTACTGGCTGGCTGAGGAATTCTGGGAGTTGAAGTCCACAAGTCATAAAAGGGCCAAGTTTGAAGACCCCTGATTTATGCCCCTTCTGACGGCAGACCTCATTTTAATGAACATGTGTGATATTATGGGATGCAAATATGTGTTTGACTACATGTAACTGATTTCCTATGCCAAGAGGAGGTGATTTTTATCCTGTCCCATCAACTTTCCTCTTACATTTTCTTTGTTGTGTTAACTATAAAAAGGTGTGAAAGATGGGTTCTCTCCTTTTTCATAGGGAGATTCCACTTTATCAGGGTACCCTAATGAACTGCTTTTAAATGATCTTCTGACTCAGTTGCTTATTGGAAAGGTAAAAAATGAGGCAGAACCTAGGGCCAGATTTGGCTATCAGTGTCCTCTGAGCCTTATACATCAGGGGCCTGGGTTTATACTCCTGGGAGTGGAGGGGACAGAGACATTTTGACAAAGGCCCATTCCTCCAACCCAGAGCTGACTCTAGGAAGAGTACAGGTACTGTAGTCCTCAACTTACAACCATTCGTGAAGTTACACTAGCACTGAAAAAGATTTTCACACTTAAAGAACCGTTGCGACATCCCCATGGTCACATGATTAAAATTTGGAGGCTTGGCAACTGGCATGTCTTTATGACATGAGTCACGTGATCCCCTTTTGCAATCTTCTGACAAGCAAAGTTAATGGGGAAGCCGGATTGACATAACAACTGTGTTACTAACTTAACAACCGCAGTGATTCACTTAACAACTGTGGCAAGAAAGGTCTTAAAATGGTGCAAAAGCCACTTAAACAACTGCCTTCCTTAACCATGGAAATTTTGGGGTCAGTTGAGGTCATAAGTCAAGGTCTACCTGTATAGCAAGGATAATTCCTGGTATAGGGTCTAGTTACTTAAGAGATGGCCTTTCTCCCACGCAGGTAGTTTTCGACTTATGACTGTAATAGAGCCTACCCCAGAGGTAGGCAACCTTGGCTCTTTTATGACTCGTGGACTTCAACTCCCAGAATTCCTGAGCCAGCCATGCTGAGGGGAAAGGGAGAGTTTCCAAGCTGAGCCATGCTGGCTCAGGAATTCTGGAAGTCCATGAGTCATAAAAGTGTCAAGGTTGCCTACCCCTGGCCTACCCATTATGGTCATAAATCATGACAGTCATAAAGTTGGTCACCCACACCAGAGGTCCCCAACCTTTTGGGCACTAGGGACCGATTCCATGGAGAGAGGTTTTTCCGCGGACCGGAAGATCCGTGGTTTTGTGTGCTGCCTGCATCTCGCGGATGGGGCTTTGCTTGTTTGTGCGGACCGGTTGCTGGCATGCCACAGCCCGGTACCGGTCCACAGACCGGGGGTTGAGGACCTGACCCACATGGCCTACCTGATTTTATGACCTTTTTTTGCAATGGTCATTAAGTGACGCATGATTGTCATTAAATGAATCCATAGTTATTAAGCGAATGCTGTGGTCATTAAACAAAGCCATTGCTTGCGATGAGCCAGTAACAAAAGTAAATGTCAGTTTGGGGCAAAAATGAAAGTCAAACACCGTCAAGTGAACGTGGGGCGCTGCAGTCAGCTGTATACATGGGATGGTTGCTGAGCACCTGAAATGCAGTCACATGACCACAGGGAGGTGACTTGTTCGTCGGATGTTTGGAACCAGGTCATAAGTACAGGGGGTGCTCAACTTACGATCACCATGGAGCCCAAAATTTCTGTTGCTAAGTGAGACATTTGTTAAATGAATTTTGCCTAGTTTTACGATCTTTCTTTCCACAGTTGTTAAGTGAAGCACTGCAGTTGTTAAGTTAGTAACACAGTTGAAACTGGCTTTCCCCATTGACTTTGCTCGTCAGAAGATCGCAAAAGGGGATCATGTGACCCCGGGACATTGCAACCATCATAAATATGAACCAATTTCCAAGTGTCCAAATTCTGATCATGTGACCGTGGGGATGCTGCAACGGTCGTAAGTGTGAAAAACTATCATAAGTCACTTTTTTTCCATGCTGTTGTACTCTAGAAAGAGTGCAGAGAAGAGCAACAAAGATCATTAGGGGACTGGAGGCTAAAACATACAAGGAACGGTTGCTGGAATTAGGTATGTCTAGTTTAATGAAGAGAAGGACGAGGGGTGATATGATAGCAGCCTTTCAATATCTCAGGGGCTTCCCCAAAGAAGAGGGAGTCAAGCTATTCTCCAAAGCACCTGAAGGCAGGACAAGAAGCAACGGATGGAAACTAACCAAAGAGAGAAGCAACCTAGAACTAAGGAGAAACTTCCTGACAGTTAGAATAATTAAGCAGTGGAACAACCTGCCTCCAGAAGCGGTGAATGCTCCAACACTGGAAGTTTTTAAGGAAAGACTGGACAGCCATTTGTCTGAAATGGTATAGGGCAGTAATGGCAAACCTTTTAGAGACCGAGTGCCCAAACTGCAACCCAAAGCACACTTATGTATTGTTGGGTGCCAGGTGGGCGTGGCCCATTGGGTGGGTGTGGCCTATTGAGTGGGCGTGGCTGCAGTGGTAACAGCAGACTGGATGGGACTAAAAAGTTCAATCAATCAATTGCAACTTTGCAAGATCTTTTTTTTTCTTGCGAGAAGTTGAAATTGATTGATTGAACCTTTTTTTTTTTTTTGCACACGGCGGCAGAGGCTAAAGTGAAAAGGTATTATAAAACCCCGCTGAAGGCGTAGGACTGGGGCAACGGCACGCGTGCCCACAGAAAGGGCTCTGCGTGCCACCTGTGGCACCCGTGCCATAGGTCCGCCACCACGGGTATAGGGTTTCCTGCCTGAGCAGGGGGTTGGACTAGATGACCTTCAAGGTCCCTTCCAACTTTATTATTATTATTATTATTATTATTATTATTATTATTATTATTATTATTATTATTATTATTATTATTATTATTATTATTATTAATCATTGCACAGTCAGCCAGATGTTCAGACTGGATTTGGCATTTCTGTCTACCTATCGAGTCCTTACCCAGGACCTGGGATAGGCAGATGTGGATGTTTGATGGTATTACAGATATCATCGCAGGATGGAAGCAGTTCCTAGTAAGGCCGCCTTTTGCAATTGACTAATGGCGAATTCGTCTATTATTATTATTATTATTATTATTATTATTATTATTATTATTATTATTATTATTATTATTATTATTAAATGAACTGTTGTTAAGTTGAGGACTACCTATACTATCTTTGATTTCCTTTGTCACAGTCAAATGTTTGCCTGTTTGCAGGCCTTTGTATTTTATGACCATTTTATTATTATTTGCAGGAGGTTCCATTCCATTCCATCCCCCTTCCCCCCCCCCTTCTTCATACAAATCTCATAGCAGACTCAGCCCAATTTTGGACCCGAGCCGGATCGTCCTCTAGCTGTTTGGCTCTCCCACCCCAGCAGTCTCAGATCCCTGCTGCCCAACCCTGGCATGGCCACCAACTGCTCTCCATCCTTCGGCTGGCCTATTTTTCATCTCCATGGCAACTGCCTCTTTGTCACTGTATAGGAAATGCACACAAAGCCCACACTCTCCAGTGCCTCTGGGCCAAAGGAGGTGGGGGGAACAAATCTGGAATTGCCCTCTCATTATCTGACCCGATTCTCATGCAAGGCGGCACCCCGGCCCTTCCAGTCTGGCCTCCCTTCTTAATTCATCATTTGGTTTAGGATCTCTGTCCCCCTCCCCCCGTTTGACCCGACATATTGGGGACATCCTTTGTAAAATACAGCATGCATTACAGGTAGTCCTCGACTTACGACCTCAATTGAGCCCAAAATCTCCATTGCTAAGCGAGTTGCACCTCATTTTACAAGCTTTTTTTGCCAGTTAAGCAAATAATGCAGTCGTTAAGGGAATCATACGGTCATTAAGTGAATCTGGCTTCCCTCATTGATTTTGCTTGTCAGAAGCCGGCTGGGAAGGTCACAAATGATGGTCGCACGACCCCAGGATAATGCAGCAGTCACAAATATGAGACAGTTGTCAAGCGCTTGTCAATTTTGATCACAAGACCTTCGGAATGCTGCAACAGTCATAAGTGTGAAAAACAGTCATAAGTCACTTTTTTCACTGTTGTAGCTTTGAAGGGTCATTAAACGAATGGTTGTAAGTCAAGGACTATGTGTTGTTCTGTGCAGGCTCCAGAAGAGACACTGAATAGCCAATGAGTGATCTAACAATAATTACACCTGTCCACCTAATTCAGGGGTAGGCAACCTTGGCTCTTTTACGACTCGTGGACTTCAACTCCCAGAATTCCTGAGCCAGCATGGCTCAGCTTGGAAACCTCTCCCTTTCCCCTCAGCAAGGCTGGCTCAGGAATTCTGGGAGTTGAAGTCCATGAGTCATAAAAGAGCCAAAATTGCCTACCCCTGATCCTAATTCATTGATGATGAATCTATGGCAAACATATCAAAGGTGACACATCACATTTTGGGTGATATGCCAGAGATCACCAACACCCAAGAAGAACTATTTTCAAAAGCATGTCCTGTTCTTGCATGATTTTCAGAGACTATGGCACCTGCATGAGAATGGGGTATGCTTTTGCACAGCCTCTGGACAATTGATGTTTCTTTATATAATACATAGCAGCACATATGATTGGCCTGTATATTTTTAAAACTAACTGAATATGTATGGAATTGTTTCTCTTTGATTGGTGGTGGAGAGTGTGACATGTTAGCAGAATCAAATTAGGCATATTCCAAACTTTGGATAACTGAGACCAAAAGGTTTTCTGTTACTGATCGGATTCATACAGTGTATTAAGCTTTGGCCTTGTCGGATCGTGTTTTTTTCAATAAATCCATATGACTTGCTACAAACATCCTAAGAAGTCATAAAGTATGGTTTAACCATCATAGCATCAAAGATTGTAGGACGTGCAGGCCAAAATCCAAACAAAGTGGTTTATCAAAGTAAAATCATAATAATTTTATCCCGAGATAAATAGAGATGGGGAGATAGAGATGGGGAGATGATAGATAGATGATAAATGAGATAGATAGATATAGATGACAGATAGATGACACATTAGAGATATAGAGATGACAGAGATAGATAGATAGATAGATAGATAGATAGATAGATAGATAGATAGATAGATAGATAGATAGATAGATAGATAGATAGATAGATAGATAGATAGATAGGATAGATAGATAGATAGATAGATAGATAGATAGATAGATAGATAGATAGATAGATAGATAGATAGATAGATAGATAGATAGATAGATAGATAGATAGATAGATAGATAGATAGATAGATAGATANCCCCCTCCTCCTGCTCCTCCTCTTCCCTCCTGCTCCCCCTCCACTCCCCCTTCTCTTCCCCTCCTGCTCTCCCTCTCCTCCTCCTGCTCCTGCTCCCCTCCTGTTGTTCCTCCTCTTCTCCTCCTGCTCCCCTCCCCCTCCTGTTCCCCTCTTGCTCCTGCTCCTCCTGCTCCTCCTCTTCCCTCCTGGCTCCCCCTCCACTCCTCCTCCTCTTCCCTTCCTGCTCTCCCTCTCTCCTCCTCCTGCTCCTGCTCCCCCTCCTGTTGTTCCTCCTCTTCTCCTCCTGCTCCCCTCCCCTCCTGTTCCTCTCTTGCTCCTGCTCCTCCTGCTTACCTGAGCTCTTTGTACCATTTCATCGGTCGTTCCGAAGCGCTCCTCCATGAGTGTCCGGATGTGCTGGGCTTCAAATTCTAGCTGCTGACGGATCAGGTCCATCTGCATCGAGAACTGGGGGGGGGGGTGAGAGGCAGAAAAGATGTAGGTAAGAGAAGCCCCCCTCTGCTTGTCACTCCCTTCCTGGTCTCTCCTCCTCCCCAAAATTTAAGGGCCTGAATGTGAGGTAAGGGGATGTTGAAGATGTAGCTGAGACACACTTAGGAAAATGTCCCTGTCCCTGTCCTTGAGTCTGTCCTGCCACCATCCAGCCTGGAAACTCACCGTCTCCACGTGGGGCAGGTCATCCAGCCGCTTAGAGAGACTTTGCAGTTGAGTGTAATACCAGAGTTTCTCCTTTTCCTCCTTCTCAATCTCACTCAACAGAAAACATCTAAGGGGAAGGAAAGACGGCAATCAGAGAAGGAAGGAAGGAAGGAAGGAAGGAAGGAAGGAAGGAAGGAAGGAAGGAAGGAAGGAAGGAAGGAAGGAAGGAAGGAAGGAAGGAAGGAAGGGGAAAAAAGGGAAGGAAACAAAAAGCAAGGAAGGAAGAAAAGGAGAGGTAAAACAGGAAGGAAGGAGAGATAGAAATAAAAAGGGAAGGAAGGAAGGAAAGAAGGAAGAAAAGGAGAAGTAAAACAAGGAAGGAAGGACAGAGAAATAAAAAGGGAAGAAAGGAAAGGAGGGGGAGGAAAGAAAGAAGGAAGGGAAGGGAGGGAAGGAAGGAAGGAAGGAAAGTCATATGGAGGCTGAGAGGAAGGAAAGATAGTTTACAATTGCACATTGGAAGACAAGAAGAGAGGAAGGGAAGGAAGGAAGGAAGAAAAAGAGGAGAAGAGAGTCTGTATCACTTCAGACACAAGCAAATATGAATTCTGCCGAAGGGGGGGAGGGAAGCAAGAAAAACTGAAACTGAAAAGAAACTGAAAGTTCTTTTCCTCCACACATGGCATCCAGCTGGATCCTAGCCACATCTCAAAAGGAAGATGGGCTCCACTTGAATTCATGAAGAAACCATCCAGAAGAGGAAGAGGAAGAGGAAGATGAGCAGGATGTTCATCCATGTCTCCCCCCACCCAAGAGTTTCAACAACTTCACCTCTCCCTGTCCAGCTCCTCCAAGAGACGGATGGTGGCCCGACCCAGATCCCCCATGCTGTCCTTCCTTTGGAGAGGGGCTGGATGGGACAGGCTCTGCTCCGGACTGTGATCCTGGCAGACTGGCTCGGGAAGCAGGGCCGGAGGGTGGAATTTCAGGTTGTACAAACTGGAGATGTCCATCTGCAGGGCTGAGGGAACAGAGAAAGGCGATGAAAGGACACCATGAGGACAGCTTAGGCCAGGGGTGTCAAACTCGCAACGTCACGTGATGTGTTGCGACGTATCGCAACTTTTTTGCCATTGCTGGCAATGGGGTGGGCGCGGTTTCGCTATGATGCATCCGGCCCGCAGGCTGGCAGTTTGACACCCCTGGCTTAGCCACCAGACACCTTTCTCCCAGCTCCAGGAAACAGGTAGTCCTCGACCTACAGCCGTTCATTTAGCAACCATTCAAAATTACAACAACATTGAAAAAAGTGATTTATGACCAGTTTTCACACCTAACGACCATTGCTGTTTTCCCAGGGTAATGGTTGCTCGGCAACTGGCTCATATTTATGACAGTTGCAGTGTCCTGGGCTCACATAATTTATAGCAGGGGTCTTCAAAATCGGCCCTTTTATGACTTGTGGACTTCAACTCCAAGAATTCCTCAGCCAGAGTGCCTGAGGTAAATCAAACAGTATACAGAACACACAGAGGAAAAAAGGCGGGAAAAAAGGGAAATGCCCCCTTCATACCCACAGCAACCAATCAAAGTGTAGATTGCCTCATGCATGTGTCAGCACCCTCTAATGCAGTGGTTCTCAACCTTTTTAATGCCGCGACCCCAACCGGTCGTAAGTCGAGGACTAAACCGGTCGTAAGTCGAGGACTAAATCGGTCGTAAGTCGAGGACTTTCCCTGCCTGGGAGCGCCGCGCATGCATGGTTCCGCCCCCTGCACCGGCCGAGGCGTAGCTGGCAAGCGGCAGAGACGGAGCAGGCCGACCACCAGCTGGCCCAGCCCAAGGGAGGTAAGGCACCCGCCGGAAAAGGGGAAAAAAATGGCGGACAAAAAAAATGGCGGACAGCCTTGCTTGGCGACCCCCATGAAATGGTCGATCGACCCCAAATGGGGTCCCGACCCACAGGTTGAGAACCANAGCGGGGACTGCCTGAGAGTGCTTGCAGGAGCTTGACTGGGAAGGAAAAGATTGGGACAGCTGCAGTTGGCTTTGGGTGTGGCTGGCGTAAGTGGAAGGAGGAAGGATAGAAAAGGAAAGGAAAGGAGAAGGCCGGGGGTTGGAGTTGAGAAGAGAAGGTCTGGAAGCTTATTTTATTTTTCTATCAAGGGTATTTTAAGTAGAGGCTAGGGAGTGAAGTTTTATTGCTTCCTCCGTGGGAGGATATCTGAAACGGAGGCAAGCGAGAGTGTGGAGAAAGGGAGCTGGCTGGGGTTTCTAGCCTCGGGTTTTAATAATAAAGAGTAAAGGGAGGGGGGTGGTTTTGAATCCTGAGACCTGAGGAGGAATTCCAGAGAAGAAGCACCAGGAGGAGAGAGACTGGTGGTGCCAACTGTTGCTGCCAACTGTTGTTGTGGACTTTGGAGGCATCTGGACTGTGGCCATCGCTGCTGGCATAGGTGCTGGGACATTGTGGGGGGGAGTTGCCCTGGGGGATGAGCCATTGCCATAACATACTGGCCGTCATTGTTATTATTGCCATCTGGAGCCGGGGTCTATCCCCCCCCCCCATTTCATCGGACTCTGAACGATTGCTCAGGGGCTTGTTACTCCTGCTGCTAAAGCAGCCCTGAGCTGTTATATACATCTTCGGGGCATCAACCATTGTGACCGGTTAAGTTTGTGCCTGAAAGTCCTGCTTCAACAAGAAGAGCCTGCCACCCATCAATGCTGCATGAGTTCCGGTTGCAAGACATCTCACCGATCTCTAAAGGACATTACCGCAAGGCTGGACAAGGGGGGTTGTGGCTGGGAGGGCCTGGGCATTGGCGGCCTCTAAAGAGGTAGCGCTACACATATATAGATTGAATTTTGGTCATACTAAAGGTTTGGCTAATCTTCCGTTCTCTTTCTGACAATAACTGATCAGCAAGATTTTGTTGGAGCTGGGTGGTCAATAAATTTTAATAATAATAACAATAAATTCTCAAAACAATCCAATTTTTGTGTCCCCAAACATTTCACTGAGGAAAAGCAAAGCATTATTCTTAACATGTCTATTTTTATTGCAAGAATTCCTATGGGCAGAGACTTGAAGATCCTTCCCTCAAGACTAGATGTTATGCAAAACACCATCCTGCTACTATTATTATTATTATTATTATTATTATTATTATTATTATTATTATTATTATTATTATCTTTTATTCATTAGACATGAATCTCAGTCAACTGAACATTGAAGTTGGCTGGCGTTGATGGTTGACACGGGTTGCTGCCAGCATCCTAGGTGTCAACCAGGTACCTCCTTAAAATATAAGATGTTCCGAGTAGTGCAGTTTTTTGTAACATTGCTGGAGTTATTGCAGGAAGTTGCAGTTTCTTGTATTTTGCAAAGTTTTTGGACATAGTTCCCAGTGCCCCGATGACTGTAACTGTATTCATGAAGATTGCAGTGTTACTTATTGCGACCTTCTGACAAGCAAAGTCAATGGGGAAGTCAGATTTACTTTACAATTGTATTACTAACAACAATTGCAGTGATTCACTTAACAACTGTGGCAAGAAAGGATGTAAAAAGCGGCAAAATTCACTTAACACCTTGTTTAGCAACAGAAAATTTGGGCTCAGTTGTGTTCGTATGTCGAGGACTACCTGTATTCAATTGAAGATAGAGCTTTTTCTTTTAGGATTAATGGCTAAAGAGTTAGAAAAAAGCTATGGAAGATTATTTCAATATATGATTAATGCATCAAGCATTTTGGTCACCACAATGTAAAAAAGATGTTGAGACTCTAGAAAAAGTGCAGAGAAGAGCAACAAGATGATTAGGGGACTGGAGGCTAAAGCATATAAGGAACGGTTGCTGGAATTGGGTGTGTCTAGTTCAGTGATGGCGAACCTTTTAGAGACTGAGTGCCCAAACTGCAACCCAAAACCCACTTATGCATCGCTGAGTGCCGGGTGGATGTGGCCCGTTGGGTGGGCGTGGCCAATTGGGTGGGCTGGTCAATTGGGTGGGCTGGTCAATTGGGTGGGCGTGGCCAATTGGGTGGGCTGGTAACGGCAGACTGGGTGGGACTAAAAAGTTCAATCAATCAATTCCAACTTTGCAAGATCTTTTTTTTTTCCCGCGAGAAGTTGAAATTGACTGATTGAACCTTTTTTTTTTTTTTTGCACAGGGCGTCGGAGGCCTAAAGCGAAAAGGTTTTATAAAACCCAGCTGAAGGTGTAGGACTGGGGCAACGGTGCAGGTGCCCACAGAGAGGGCTCTGAGTGCCACCTCTGGCACCTGTGCCATAGGTTCGCCACCACTGGTCTAGTTTAATGAAGAGAAGAACGAGGGGGGTCATGATAGCAGTGTTCCAATATCTCAGGGGCTGCCACAAAGAAGAGGGAGTCAAGCTATTCTCCAAAGCGCCTGAAGGCATGACAAGAAGCAACGGATGGAAACTAATCAAGGAGAGAAGCAACCTAGAACTAAGGAGAAACTTCCTGACAGTTAAAACAATTAATCATTGGAACAACCTGCCTCCAGAAGCTGTGAATGCTCCAACACTGGAAGTGTTTAAGAAGAGACTGGACAGCCATTTGTCTGAAATAGTATAAGGTTTCCTGCCTGAGTAGGGGGGGTTGGACTAGATGACCTCCATGGTACCTTCCAACATCATCATCATCATCATCATCATCATTATTACTATATGCACATAGATGGAAAGATTTGACACTACCCGCTATGGCAGAAGGATTGGCAAATTTTGTTGGCACGTTTTGCTGAAAAAGGATAAATTTACTTCTTGGATTCGAGATAAGATATTATCTACATAAGGGACCCCCAACACCTGGGCTGTGGCTCACCACAACCGGGCAGAAGGAGTGATGGGCCAGTAGACATGCATGTGCATGCAGCTTGCGGTACATATGCACTGGCCTGCCGCTCATGCAAGTTAAGCTGTGCGAACATGCGCACCGGCCTGCCACTCATGCACAGCCGTTTCCTTCTCCCCGCCAGCCAGGCTGCCAAGGCACAAAGGTTGGGGACTGCTGATCTACATTTATTGGTGACTGGAAGCTTCTTTTGGACTTTTTGCATAAAAATGAACTTGTGATTTTTGGTTTTGCTGATTAGATAGAATAGATTACATGTAGTCCTTGACTTATGACTGTAATGTAGCTCAGGGGTCCTCAACCTTGGCAACTTTAAGACTTGTGGACTTCAACTCCCAGAATTCCTCAGCCAGCAAAGCTGGCTGAGGAATTCTGGGAGTTGAAGTCCACAAGTCTTAAAGTTGCCAAGGTTGAAGACCCCTGAGGTAGCTTGCCCATCATGGTTGTAAATTGTAATGATCATTAAACAGGTTGGCCACATGATTGATCCATTTTATGACCTTTTTGTAGTTGTCATTAAGTAAGTGCCATGGTCATTAAGTGAACTAAATTAGCTATGGACATTTTTTTGCCAAAAACTGGACATAAGTTACCGTAAAATGCAGTCATGTTCGAGTCCCTCTTTAGCCATGAAAGCCGGCTGGGTAACTTTGGGCCAATCACCAGGAGACGGTGAGTTCTAGTCCTTCTTTAGGTATGAAAGCCAGCTGGGTGACTTTGGGCAGTCCATCTCTCTTAGCCTAACCCACCTCACAGGTTTGTTGTGGAGAAAATAGGAGGAAAGTGTGTTGGATATGTTCACCACCTTGAATTATTTGTAAAAATAATAAAGCGGGATACAAATAAATAAATAAATAGGGCCCATAGCAAACAATGGGTTTGTTTAACGACCATGGTGTTTGCTTTATGACCATGGTGTTCACCTTATAATCACCACATTCACTTAAAGACTGCTGCAAAAAAAGGGTCATAAGAAAGAGTCTAGTCACATAGCGACTTGCTTTGCCACCATCACAACTAATGATCGTAATGGGCAGGCTCTATTACAGTCATAAATAGAGATCTACCTGTACATACTTTATATACAGTATATTAATATACAATATAGGTATAGTGTCATGGTTCCAACAGATGAAACTCTTCAAAAGAACTTCGAGGCATTGTTTACCTTAAAGAACCTTTTATTCGAGTAGCATAATATCGGCACAGCATAATCGAAGTAAAAAACTGAATTCCCCTCCCCTGGGCGCATAGTATCAAAGCACAATTCCCTCCTCCAATTAACAGTAATAAATCACATTCCTCAATTAGCTTGAAGCGAGGGCTTCCTCTCCAGTTCTCCAGCCCACCAATTCTTTATCAGCTCTGGGCTCAATAACCTTGATTCTCACACTGAGTTTAGTGTTGTTATTTTAGCCAGATTCTCTCCCCTCCCAGCATCATCTAACTCTAAAAGCGAAAGGGAAAAAGATGGCTACATTTCTATCAGTTGTCAATGCAAAAACATCCAATGTTAGCAGCATTGACATATAGCCTTTGTAGCGTTAGTTTTACTAAGAAAAGGCAGTAGAATTAGGGAAAGCAGCAGATTGTTCCTCATAAAGATTCTGCAATCAAACTGTAATAGAGATGTTGTCATTATAGATCGGTAAACGTAAATTAAGCTTTTACAGATGAATAATGAAGGAACTAAAATGGATTTGTTGTTGTGTTCTTTTTTTCTCCTGTAGAAAGAACATTTCTGTATTCCACAGATCTCCTTAAATCCTAGGCTTCTTGGTTGTTGAGATTTATTCTTTAATAAATCTACACAAGCTGCTTAGGGCGTTCTAATGATTGTGATATCTTTCTACCCACATCTTTTGTCATTAAAATAACTATTGGGTAATTGGGAGGAAAAAAAACATTGTATTTTGTGGTAATATCCATACTTATCATCAGTGTTTCAAGAGATGGTAGCACTGGTTAGAATAGAAGGTTGTTCACTGGCCTGCCTGTGGACTTCAACTCCCAGAATTCTCTTCAGAGATGCCATTGTCAGCTATGCATTAAATGTATACGCTTTTGAGACCAGAGGCAACATTTCCCATTGAGAGTTTCAAACTTCATTTTCTAAAATCATTTTATACTTGTGTTAAAATAACTGCACTTCCCCACAAGCTCACACATACACACAGAGAGAGAGGGGGGGGGAGGGAGGGAGAGAGAAAGAGAAAGAGAAAGAGAGAGGGAGAGGGAGAGGAAGAAAGAGAGAGCATCCCCTTCCAGGGATGCATGTGAATAGGTCATTGGAGCAACAAAGACTTTGTGACTAGAGCAGCCTCATTTAGCAGCCACTCTAGCCTTTCACATTTGTGTTCAAAGCCAGAAAATCAGCTAGCCTGCCTATCCAATTGCAGAAAATATGATGAATTAAGACAGTGGTTCTCAACCTGTGGGTCAGGACCCCATTTGGGGTCGATCGACCATTTCATGGGGGTCGCCAAGCAAGGCTGTCCGCCATTTTTTTTGTCCGCCATTTTTTTTGTCCGCCATTTTCTTTCCCCTTTTCCGGCGGGTGCCTTACCTCCCTTGGGCTGGGCCAGCTGGTGGTCGGCCTGCTCCGTCTCTGCCGCTTGCCAGCTACGCCTCGGCCGGTGCAGGGGGCGGAACCATGCATGCGCGGCGCTCCCGGGCAGGGAAATTCCTCGATTTATGACCGGCTGGGTAGTCCTCGACTTACAACCGGTTTAGTCCTCGACTTGCGACCGGTTTAGTCCTCGACTTACAACCGGTTTAGTCCTCGACTTACGACCGGTTGGGGTCGCGGCATTAAAAAGGTTGAGAACTACTGAATTAAGATAACTAAACCAACCGCAAAATATGGTCGTAAACCCTAATTAGGAAACTCTCAAGCCGAAGATCAGCCAAGAAAGGAAGAATGGGAACATTGCTTTGTCTCTCTCATATGGAAAGAAATCAAGCATCAAAACACAGACAAAACTCATCTAAAGCTGGTCAATTAAACATATCCAAATATATAGCAAATATATCTCACGGAGTGGGTAGCTATATTAAATTGATTAATAGCAATAACAGTAACAACAATAATACTTGGAAGGGCTTACATCCTGTGATGATACTTATAACACCAACAAACAACATCTGTCTATCCTAAACCTGGGGAAGGACTCAATGGGTGGATAAAAATGCCAAAACCACTCTGAACATCTGGCTGACTGTGCAACCAACCACAGCAATAACGGATATTTCTAAGTAGCAGTCGTAAAAGTTCACACAGATTGTGCTCACAATATGTCCAGGTACATTTGTGTAGCAAGAAGCAAGAACCATCCACTCTGCAATTCAACTGTTAGATCAGATATCCTTGACTCAGAGACTACAAATCCCAGCCTCAGGATCTCCCCTGACCAAGATACTCGAAGGTGTAAAACTTGCGGACTTCAACTCCCAGAATTCCTCAGCCAGCGTGCCTGGCTGAGGAATTCTGGGAGTTGAAGTCCACAAGTCATGAAAGGGCCAAGTTTGAAGACTCCTGGGGTAAAGTGTTAATTTTGGAAAGGATGCTTAACAGAATTTGGAGAGAGATCAAGATGATCAGAAATAAATACAGGTAGTCCTCAATTTACAACAGTTTGTTTATGCCATTCAAAGTTACAACGGCACTGAAAAAAGTGACTTACGACTGTTTTTCACAGTTACAACCTTTGCAGCATCCTCATGATCCTGTGATCAGTATTCAGATGCTTGGCAACTAGTTCATAGTTATGACCATTGCTGTATCCCAGGGTCATGTGATCCCCTTTTGCAGACTTCTGGCAAGCAAAGTCAATGGGGAAGCCAGATTCACTTAACAACCGCGTTACTAACTTAACAGTTGCAACAATTCACTTAACAACAGTGGCAAGAAAAGTCGTAAAATGGGGCAAGACTCACTTAAGAACTGTTTCACTTAGCAACATCAATTTTGGGTTCAATTGTAGTCGTAAGTCGAGGACTACCTGTCATATAGAAAAGCAACATTTCCACAACTAGAAAAAAAACAAACAACCAACCACTGGATCAGTGCTGGTAAAGAGAAAGGTCCGCACCTTCATATCGGAAGTCTCATTTTCTAGCTTGGAGAGATGGTTGGAGTTGTCTTCCAACTCCTGACGGAGGTGTGTGTTCTCTTTCTTCAGCGCCTCCACCTGCTTCACCAATTGATCGTAGGACGCAATGGATCCAGACATCTTCAGCTCTTCCATTGCCTGGAAAAGAAAAGAAGATAGGAGACAACGTACAATGAATGGCTAAGGGAACTAGGTGTGTTTAGCCCAGGGCTCTTCCAACTTGGCAACTTTAAGACTTGTGGACTTCAACTCCCAGAATTCCTCAGCTGGTTTGAAGACCCCTGGGCTAAACATACTGAAGAGAAGACCCAGGGGAGACAGGATAGCTGTCTTCCAATACTTGAGGGGCTGTCACAGAGAAGAAGGGATTGACTTGTTCACCAAAAACACCAGAGGGCAGGACAGGAAGCCATGGGTGGAAGCTCTTCAAGACACATCCAACCTAGAAATAAGGAGGAATTTCCTGACAGTAATAACCATTAATCAATGGAACAGCTTGCCTCCCAGAGTTGTGGGTTTTCAAGAAGATTGGACAACCATTTGACCAGTATAGTATAAAGATTTCTGACTAAGCAGGTGGTTAGATTAGCAGACCTCCAAGGTCCCTTCCAGCCCTATGACTCTATGATTATTTGGCTTCCCTTCACCCACATCTCTGAGGGCTTTCTTAGCTCAGGATGGTTAAACAGATGAAAAATTAAGTAGGAAGGGAAAGGAAACAACCCCTTACAGGGTTCCAGCTATAAAAGGTTCACAGAGGAGCAAATCAAGTGAGTAAAAATATAATGAGGACCCCACAGGGTAATACTCAACTTACAACCATTCATTTACCAAACATTTGAAATCACAGGTAGTACGACCACAATCGGGCCCAAAATTGCTAAGTGAAACATTTGTTAAGTGAGTTTGCCCCACATTACGACCTTTCTTGCCACATTCTTGTTAAGCGAATCACTGCAGTTGTCAAATTAGTCAAACTCTTGTTAAGTGACCCTGGCTTCCCCCATTGACTTTGCTTGTCAGAAGGTCGCAAAAGATGATGACGTGATCCCGGGACACCGAAACCGTCAGAAATATGAATCAGTCGCCAAGTGTCTGAATTTTGATCACGTGACCACGGGGATGGCTGCAATGGTCGTTAAGTGTGAAAATTGGTCATAAGTCACTTTTTTCAGTGCCATTGTAACTCTGAACGGTCACTAAATGAACCATTATAAGTCGAAGACTTACCTATATAACACAACTGAAACCTATAAGCGTCACAGCATCCTCACAGTCATATGGACAAAATTCGGGCATTTGGCAACTGGGATGTATTTACGAGGGTTGCAGCATCCTGACATTTGCAAGCCTCCCAGCCAGTTTCTGACAAGCAAAGTCAATGGGGGCGGGGAAGCTGGATTTGCTTAACAACCGCATGATTCACTTAACAACTGCAGTGATTTGCTTCACCTTGGCCAAAAAAGGTTGTAAAATCAAGCGCGACTCACATAACTAACAGAAATTCTAGTGCCAATCGCGGTCATAAGTCAAGGACTGCTTGTAGTGACTTAAATGGGCTTGTCTGATAACAGGCCATAGATAAACCCAACGTTAAAAGAATTGCTCGTGTTGAAGGAAAAGTCTTCATCGTGGTTCAGTCCAAGCCGGGAATAAACAACATGGCGACTGCTTTAGAAAGAAGGTTGCAGTTTATTGAAGAAGAGAGCCAGACAGAAAGATGGCTCTGGAAGAAAAGAGAGTGAGCACATGTAGGGAGTGGGTTTTTATACCCTCTGGAGCCTTTTGTTTGGAGTTGTTCCTGTGGCATGAACTTTGACCTGAGTCTGAGTGTGCCTTTCTGGTATTCTGATGGTGGTGGGTTAATCCTATTATGTCCCAAGGGTCATATCCTGCTTCCTTGGGGCTATGGCTGATGACTCTTAGATTTTTGGTGTTGATTCTAGGGATCTTTCTTCCTAATCCCAGTTTCCTGATTCCAGTCTTTCTGACAAGATTACCACATCTGCAATTTTACAGACTTGGTTCCTGTTTTGGACAGACAGACTCGGGGGCGGGGTTGGTTTCTGCTTTTAAAATCCTTTAGGGAAATATATTCTACCTTTTAAATATTTCCCAAAATATTTCTTTCTCGGGGGGGGGGAGCTGACTTCCCACACTCGGAAGGGACAAAATGGAAACTCTATGAATATATTCATGATCAGCATGCCTGAAAACAAGGAATGGTATTTAGATTACTTCGGGTTATTCACCGGTGGGAAAAATGTACTCTACAAATGCTTAGAGCACACGCACTTTTGGCTACGTTGCAACATTCCTTCTCCAGAGAGTTCAGACGGTTTCCACACCCTGCATGTTGCCTTCACAACAACCGGGTGAAAAAGATTAAAGAGAAAGACAGCTGATTGTTGGGATTCAAGTGTGGGTTTGCACAATCGTAACCAATCATCTCACCGTTGCACCGTCTCCATTAGATGGTCACATGCCTGGCTGAGGGATTCTGGGAGTTGAACTCCACAAGTCATAAAAGGGCCAAGTTTGAAGACCCCTGGTCTAAGCTGAACATTTCTTTCGATGGCCAGACAAATATGATTTCAAGTTGTCCTCAACTTAACAACCATTCATTTACTAACCAGAATTACAACAGCACTAAAAAAAATGACTTAGGACCGTTTTTCACACTTAACAGCCATTGCAGCATCCCCGTAGTCATGTGATCAAAATTTGGAGGCTTGACAACTGGCATGTATTTGTGACGGTTGCAGCGTCCTGGGGTCATCACTTTTTGTAACTTTCTGACAAGCCACGTAATAATAATAATGATGATGATGATGATGATGATGATGATGATGATGATGATAATAATAATAATAATAATAATAATAATAATAATAATAATAATAATAAAGTTGGAAGGGATCTTGGAGGTCATCTAGTCCAACCCCCTGCTCAGGCAGGAAACCCTATACCATTTCAGACAAACGGCTGTCCAGTCAATGGGGAAGCCCTGTTACTTAACAATTGTATTACTAACTGAACCACTGCAGTGATTCACAACAACTGTGGCAAGAAAGGTCATAAAATGGGGCAAAACTCAAGAACGGCCTTGCTTACCAACAGAAATGTTGGGCTCAATTGTGGTCATAAGTCGAGGACTACCTGTAGTAGGGGGTGGGAATTTTATTTAGTTAGATGGCAGTCCTGTAAAATTGTCAAGCCTGGATATTTTTCAGTAATGCTTTATGCTAATCACTTTAAGTTGGAAGAAAGAGGGTTTTTTTTAAAAAAACTGAGTTCAACTTCTAATAATTTCATGGACCGCTTCCTGGAAGACTCCTGGAAGTAGTTTGTCTCTGTCTTCTTCTGGGATGTCTTTTCAACTTCCCAGAAGATGATCCTGGCATTTCCTGATAGTCTCCCATCCAACTCTTAGCCAAAGCCAACCCTGTTTAGCTTCCAAGCCCAGACAGGCATAGATACTAGTTGAGTAAATGGAAACCCTGAGTTGAGAAGCAGCTGACCACAAAAGAATTAGATGCTCCTACTTTTGAATACAGGTAGCCCTCTACTTACAACAGTTCATTTAGCAATGATTCAAAGTTACAATGGCACTGAATAAAGTGCAGGTAGTCCTCAACTTACAACAGTTCAATCATTCGAAATTACAATGGCATTGAAAAAAGTGACCATTTTTCACACTTATGACTGTTGCAGCATCCCCAATATTCAGATACTTGGCAACTGACTCATATTTATGTGATCAAAATTTGGAGGCTTGGCAACTGGCATGTATTTGTGACAGTTGCAGTGTCCCAGGGTCACGTGATCCCCTTTTGCAACCGTCTTGACAAGCAAAGTCAATGGGGAAGCCAGATTCACTTAACAAACGTGTTACTAATTTAATAACTGCAGTGATTCACTGAACAACTCTGGCAAGAAAAGGTCGTAACATGAGGCAAAACTCTCTTAACGTCTGTCTCCCTTAGCAACCGAAATGTTGGGCTCAGTTGTGTTCGTAAGTTGAGGACTACCTGTACTTCAGGAGCATTGTTGAATAAGCAGGATAGAAGAGTACTAAAACACCTTTGAATGCCGGTATTGGAGAAGATTCCTGAAAATACTGGAGCGAGCCAAAAAAGCAAACCAATAGATTACCAGGTCTATCAATCCACTTGATGCCCCAATGGCCAAGCTCAAATAATCCTACTTGGGACACCTGATGCAAAGACTCAACTTGAGAAAGGTGGGAGAAAAGAGAAGAAGAGGATGGCCAGCAGCGAGGTGGATGGACACAAATACAACAGTGATGAGCGCAGGATTGGAAGACCTATAAGGACAAGTTAGGGATTGATCATCATGCAAAAGATCTATTTATATGGGCATTAAGAGGTGACAATGGCACACAATCAATCATGAATGCCTTGCCTCCAAAAGTTGTGGGTGTTCCATCACTGGAGATTTTTGAGAAAAGATTGGACAGCCATTTGCCTGGAATCATATAGGGCAGTGGTGACGAACCTATGGCACGTGTGCCGGAGGTGGCACTCAGAACCCTCTCTATGGGCACGCGCGCTGCCGCTCCCAGCAGCTTGCGCAGGTCCATTAGGCTGCCACCACCGCCTGGAGCGGCAGCCCCACCCAGCACAAAGGAGGCGAAGCGGCCAGCTAGCAAGCTTGAGTAGAGGTGGTAGAGCAGGCCCACACCCAGCAAGCCAAAGGCCACCCCGAGCAGGGAAAGCCGGATCCCCATCGGCACCATGGCCCCCCCAGTCCCAGCTAGGATTGCGTGCCTCCCCCCATCTATGCTGGGTCTTCTGCCCACTGCCCCACCTGCCAGAGACCCCCTGGATCGCCCCCAACTCTGCCTGGCCCCCACAGGCGTCCCCCCATGAGCAACATTGAGCTGGCCATGCCCACCCCAGCCACGCCCACCCAGTCTGCTGTGACAACTGCAGCCATGCCCCCCAGTGAGCCACACACCCCAGTGGGCCACGCCCCCATGTCCCCCCCTTGAGGGCACCACAATGCTTATGCGGCCATGGCGCTTTGCGATAAATAAGTGGGTTTTGGGTTGTGGTTTGGGCACTTGGTCTCTAAAAGGTTCGCCATCACTGATATAGGGTCTCCTGCTTAAG